ATTTTCTTACAGGAAAAAATGTTCATGAAGAAGTTGTTCGTAAATTATTCAATTCAATCAATTGGAAATGTTTTCGGCATAGAGATCATAGAGCCCAATCCAGAAAGAATCTGTGAAAATTGACAAAAAAAGGGTTCATAATGAGAGTTCCCGTTCAAATAATGCAGACAGTTCAAAGTCAAAATGAAAAGAAACGATGAAGGTGGTTAGCGCTACGACATCGACCGTCGTCGGTGATTTGATTTGATGTGAAGGATGGAGGAGGGCGGGCGAACGGACAGGTGATGGCGGCGGTGAGCGGCTAGCTGATGGCAGAGGGGGAGGGCGGCTGATGGCGGTGATGAGTGTGTGATGAGCGAAGGCAGTCGGTCGGTACCGACTGAGACCGATCGTCGTCGTCGCCGTCGTTGCCGCCATCGTCGCTGTTTCAGTGCATGAATGTTCGTCCGACTGGCTGGTCTCTGAGTGTGTTTGTGTGTGACAGACCGAGTAGACGAGCCGGATCTTAAGAAATCGATTGATCAGTTCAACGGTGATGGCGGAGGGGATGGGTTGGTTGTATGTGCGGGTGTGTGTAAAATGGTTGTAGTGGTGGTAATAGCAGTGATGGGTGCAACCAGCGCTCGTACAAATTGGAAAACAACAGTGAAAAATCGCTGATGACTCATGAAGTCGTGGGTTGGAGAAGAGGTGACGGACGGCCTCGCCATGGCCTTCACGTGCGTCGACACTCAGTCTTGTGTTCCCATCTGGGCGCCTTTATGGCTGCGAATTCCCTCATCGACCGTGTAATGACATTTGCTTAGGCGATTTTCCAACCCCCCACGTCATCGCTGAGTCATCCCTGGACGGTTCATGTTCTGACAGTTTTGATTCATTGCTTGTCAAATAAGGGTAAATGACGTAGCAATTTTTCATGCTGGCAACATTGAACAATTTTTCACATTCTTTTTATGATTGTGACAAAATTAGCGGTTTCTGGAGAGTTCAAATAATAAAATTCACCAAAAATTTCACTTTCACTTATAATGCGCCATGCAATTGCGTTTCACCCTAATGCTTTGAAGTGATTGAAACTGACATGGGTCTACGCCTATGGATGGAGCGAGTTAATACTTAAACGGAGACGAATATAATGTTTTCATAAAATCGAAATTTCCTCGGAATTCTCAAAATGAAATGAGTTTTCATTAGAATTAAGAACAGTGCGGTCGTCTCACGGTCTGGGTGGTCTCGAGAACCGGACTCGTTAGGGCTCTGAAGAAGGCGATCTCGCCGGAATGTTAGCCCAGTAAGGCCCCGTTAGCCCAGGCTGTTACCAAATTCGTGAGGCAATTCAGAGAAGGTATCAGCAGTTTCATTAGAATTTTCTGGAAAGTACCACTTATCTAAATGTACCGTCAACCTCACGCAAGCGACTATTTCCTCGTTTTCCCCCTG